CAACACCACAACTCAAAGGCATCAGTTCTCCTTCTATCCACCCTAGTCATTGTCCAGCTCTCTGATGAATAGCAATCGATTGCATCACTTGTATCAGGAGCACATTAGTCTCTAGAGTGACACCATTGCTCTTCAGTACTTTAGAGAGGTCCCTAAGAGCAGACTTCCCCATCACAATACATATTTTCATTTCCTGGCTGCTGGTGCCAAGAGTGTTGACTGTGGAGCCAAGCAAACTAAAGCTGTGTACAATCTCAATCAGCACCACCCATCCTGATGCTGTCAATTGGTCCAGTGGTGAGAATCTTTGTCTTCTTGATATTGAGCCTCAATCCATATTGGAGGCTGCAGTCCTTGACCCTCAGTAGCAAGCGCTTCATGTTCTCCTCAGTTTCCACAAGCGGGGTTGTGTCATCTTCACAACAATTTTCCATCATATATACTATGTTTTATAAAGGCCTTCATTGACATTGTTTCATGCAGTCATTCATATACACTGTATTTCATACAACCAGTCACTGTGGATCTATCTACACTACTACCACCCTGTGTCTTTGAGTCCCTACTGAATCTTACCTATTCCTTCACACATACCCCTTCCGCCCTCTAAACTCTGCAATCCTAGTGACCCCCCACTCTTCCCCTTTTTCAGTCTTCTTCCCTCTGTCCTCTTCCTCTTTTGAACATTGACACACATTTAACTAGTTGCCTTTTCATTTTTACAATAGTTTTTTTTTTTTATGCAGTATTTGTCCTGATGATACTGAGTTAAGTTCACTCCTCATAATGATCTGCAGGGAAATCAGCTTGATCAAAGTCAAGCCACTCAGAACAGTCTGTACTTTCGATAATTTTTTATTGGAGCTATTACAAAGATATAGAAATTCTACGAAATTAGCAGTTATGAAGGTACACACCCCTGAAATGTAATGATTCTCACTTTCCAAGTCTTGTCTGTATATAAAAGCCTTTTTTTTTTTTATATATATATATATCAGGCTTCAGGTTCTAGGCTCATTTTTACTTTTGCTGTCATAAGGAGTCGACTTAAGAGGAGACATGAGAGTGCATGAAAATTTCCTAATTACTTCTAAAATTATTTCTTCCTATAAATACTCCACTATTTTAGTTTAAAATTTCTTGAATTTACAGTATTGTGAATTTAAGTAAAAATTTTATTTTTTTTTAAATTTTGTTGTGGGTGGGCTTAAAAATTACCCAAATTGATATTTCTTAAATATGTTTGCATTTGTCCAGATTCATATTTAGAGAGCATTTCAGCTTTCTTTTTGAACTTCATAGTGCATGTTTTAGCTCAGCAAAGTTATGCTACTTTAACTTATTTTTATTTATTTTTGTAGAATTTAGTCTTAGAAACCTGACAAATAGTTTTAATGCTTTGCAAGCTTTCTTTTAAGAGCTCCTTATACTGGGTAATACTCCAAGAGTATTCCTTCTTGCATGTCAAATATTGTTGTATAGGAAAGAATTGATCTCACTGAGCCTAAAATCATGTAGGGATACTGTCAGTTTTTTGCTTTATATTTTATGTCTCAAGGCATTGAATTGAACTGCATTTGAACTTGGCAGAACGCTTTAGTGATTTGCTGAGTCTGAGGAAACTTATAAAATGCCTTAGATATTATTACCTAATATTCCAGAAAGTAAGGAAAGGCCACATAAAAGCCTGGGAACATCTGCCCAAGACTTAAAAACATAACATTTTAATTGAATCTCTTCCATTATAAATTCTAATATGTATAAAACAGGAAGTTAGAAAAATGTAGAAAAGGAAAAATGAGGTGAGAAATATAACCTTAGCTTGAGATAATCTGTGTTAACATCTGGTATATTTCATAAGTGCATTCTTTTTAAGATTTTGCTTTTGATTTAGAATATAAACAAACACACTCAAATATACATATATGCACACAAACATTAATAATACATCAAAACCCATTGTTGTGAAGCCAATTTTAACTCCTAGTGACTTTATGGGACATAATGCTTATTACACACACACACACACACACACACACACACACACACATATGCCTATTTTTGTGAGAATGCTGCAGGATTGGGCTAGATTTTATTGTTGTGCTTTGGATTACTACAAACCTGATTCAATGGCATCTAACCACATACTCCATTTATTAACATTTTATAATTCAGTCAGCATTACTGTCTTAGGCTTGGTCACTAGAGGAACAAAACCAATGAAGAGTGTGTGTGTGTGTGTGTGTGTGTGTGTGTGTGTGTGTAGAGAGAAAGAGAGAAAAAGACAGAAACACAGAAAGATTGGAAGAAATATTTCAAAGAAATGGCTCCTGTGCTTTTAAATAGGTTCTAAGACTAGAGGCTTATAATAGCTAAAGGCTTGGTCTGACTCATGTAGCTTCAGATATGCTGATTTCTAAGACTGGCAGACAGTATGGGAGGCTCCAGTCCAAAGAAATGGAGGTCAGATAGTGATTAGTCATGTGTAGAATCCATATTGAGCAAGTGGAGAGCTTTGCCAAGGGTCCATTTATTTCCAATAAAGACCATGTCCCTGTTGAAACTCCTTTTCAAGTAACTGACCACTCATTGCAGATCTCATCTCTGAACTGATTATATCTGTTCTCATCAGGAACTGATTGCATTTTATCATTCTCAGGAAATGACTATAGTATAACTGATACACCAGAGAGTCATAGGCAGCCAAGATGACATAAAACCCTAGTCATCACAATTACGATAAAAGCATTTTCTAAGTTACGACATATTAATAAGAATTTATTTTCATTACTGTACAGTCCCATTATTTACCTAATTAGTCACAATGTTGTTGTTATGTGCCGTCAAGTCGCCTGTGACTCATAGTCACCCTGTGTACAACAGCCCCAAAGCCTGCTCTGTCCTGAGCCAGTCTCACTGTGTCTGACACACCCATGTTCTTTGATAATTTAACCTACTATAGATGTGTTAGTCTTTTTAAATATTCTTATTGAGAGATGGCATACATGTAGAGAAGTATATGGATAGCATTGTGAATTTTCACATATGAACATATTTAATTGCTAGTCAGTTTATTAATTATTGTTGTTGTTGTTGTTATGTGCCATCAAGTCATTAGTGATTGATAGCAGCCAACATAGTGTACAACAGCTCTGAACTGTGTCCTAACCTATGCCAGTATCATTGTCTCCAACACACCAAACCCCATTACCTAGATTAATAAATTATCACTAAGTGAACACAGCTGTGTCATCATTACTCAGGTCAAGAAAGATAAATTTGCCAAATTTTCTAAATATTCCGCTTCCTCTTTTCCTTCTCTCCCCCCTACACACACACACACACACACACACACACAAAACCCAACAGTAAAAACACAAAAAATACCATTCAAGGCATGTACAGTGGTTTATAATAACTAAAAAGCTTTAAAACTAATAAGTTTTCTAAAACCTATCAAAAATTATTACATAAAAAGTATTTTTATGTTAAAGATATTTTAATGTGTCTAAAATGATTTCTTTAATGTTTTCATACATAGAAAGGTACCCTATATATACACTATATACCATGCACCTGACTTATGTACAAATTGGATTTAAAGATAAACTGAACAAAGTGGAACTTGACTTCTTGTCTTAGTGTTTATTCTTAATATAAAAACACTTCTTGGCCTTAGAGGAAACTATATCTCTATATTGAGATATTTTCATAATATTGAACTTTTTTCCGTTTTCTAAGTTTATTTTCCAAGAAATGTAGAGGCTGGCTACCTGGCCAGCTGATTAGAAGAGATAGATATTTGTTCCCATTTCCAAAAAAAGTGATCTAACAGAACGTGGAAATTCTCGAACAATATTGTTAATATCCCATGCAAGTAAAATCTTGCTGCAGGTTATTATAAAACAGCTGGAACCGTACATAGACGAGGAACTGCCAGAAATTCAGGCTGGATTAAGAAGAACCCTTGGAACAAATATCATTGCTGATGTCAGATGGATCTTGGCTGAAAGCAGAGAATACCAGAAGAATGTTTACTTGCATCCTATTGACTATGTAAAGGCATTTGACTACATGGATTATAACAAATTATGTCTAACATTGAGAAGAATAATAACCTCAGAATGCATTAAGAATTAATTTTGCTCATATAAAATCTATACCTACACCAAGAAGCTGTTGTTCAAACAGAGCAAGGAAACATGGCATGGTTTAAAATCAGGAAAGATGTACATCAGGATTATATCTTTTTGCTATACTTAATCTATATGATGAGCAAATCATTAAAGTGGACTATATGAAGAAGAATGTGACATTAGGATTGCAAAAACACTTCCTAGCAAGCCCATAAATATGCATGTTCATTAAGTAAGAATTGGTGGGAATATGATCAGTTTATTAGGTGGTTTTGGTGAAATCAATTCTTGTTCAGAAAACAGATTTTTTTTTCTAAGTACAGTACATGTTTGGTTTCAGACTCTAGGAAATTGTTCACTCATTGTTTACATGTTCACTCATGGGTTTACAGTTTAGGACTGTAGTAGTTTTCTTACTGGTACAGCAGAGGGACTGGCGGGACGCATTCACCAGAGGCAACTTGCTCTAGGTTATCAGACGAACCTTTTATTTATGTCTGTTACTGTCCTACCTCTTCCTCTATTGTATATTTACATTCTCTTTTATTTCCATTTTTATCCCTAAATCAGTTTTTAGTAATGGATGATATCAACCCGAGAGCCTTCTTGTCTTTTTTCTCTTTAAGTTAATGTTTTAATCCTTAATCACTACTGTTTGTTTTAAAAAATCAAGAGAGGGAGTTCAAAACCCAAGATTTAAAGAAAGTTACTCATTGGAAGGAGTAATGCAGTTGGATTGAGTGAGCTCTGGTGTGACTGGTGTCTCTTTTTTTTTTTTTATGTGACTGGTGTCTCTTATTCTCTAGGTCTCTTCTCTCTAGGGATGGTGAAGTTGAGGAAAGGCTGCTTTAACCCTCCTCCAGGATGAACTACCTGCCAGAAGACATGGAAAATGCCCTCACTGGGAGTCAGAGCTCTCATGCTTCTCTGCGCGAGGTCCATTCCATCAACCCCACACAGCTCATGGCCAGGATTGAGTCCTATGAAGGGAGGGAGAAGAAAGGCATCTCTGATGTCAGGAGGACTTTCTGCTTGTTTGTCACCTTTGACCTCTTATTTGTAACATTACTGTGGATAATAGAATTAAATGTAAGTTTGTTTGAGTTTTTTTTCCTCCATGATATAGTAAGAATGTTTCCAGAATTATAGTTTTTTCATTTTTCATTGTTGTTGCTTTTGTCTTGTTATGGAAGTTCCATTTTTTCCCAAACAAGACCACATTGGAAACTTCTCCAGGACATTTGGATCTTCTGTATTCTTTACTGGCATTGTTTAAAGCCACTTTCATTAATTTAAAGTTGATTTTGAGATTTTTGAAGGAAGAATTGATATTCTGTAATGAGGATCAGCAAGAACAATGCATAGGCTTCAGTTCAGCTGCCCCATTTTCATAACAGAAGTAAAATCGTGCACAGCCATGTGCATCTGTTCATGTATTGTGTGTGGCTGCTTTTGTGTTGAATATTTAAGTTGAAAAGTTGTGACAGAAACTATGAGAAGAGATCTGTTTATATGGTCTAATAATGAAATACTTTTATCCTCATTTGTCCACTAACTGCTGATATGAGAAGATCAGAGAAGGGGCTTCAAGAGAGTACACTGTAACATCTTTAGCCAATTTTTTTAGACATCCAATTTCTAGTTTAATTTTTTTTTTTTATTTTTGTGAGTTTACATATCCTTACCGGGATTTTCCTTGGCACATTATTAAATTTGTTTTCTTTCGTTGTCTGACTGTAAATCACTAATCACTTGCTTACTCATTGCCATCAAGTTGGAATTGACTCAGCTGACCCTCCATTGGGTTTGCAAAGGTTGTAAATTGCACTGGAGGAGATTGCCTATCTTTATCCGGAGGAGCAGCTGGCAGATTGAGTCTGCTTGCCTTTGGCTTGATATCACTGTACCTTATCCACGAGGCCACCAGAGATCCCTACTAATAATGAGAGCCATCATTTTCTACAGGTTGTTCTTTTTTTGAAGAGTGCAGGACGGTATAAGATTCACAGAAACAAAAGAAAAAACACTTTACATTGCCTTTTAATGATACTGTGTTGCTAGGTGCCATTGAGTCAACTATGACTCATAATGACTCTGTGAATGACAGATCTGAACTTTGCACTAGCCTATACCATCCTCACCATCACTGATAAAATCAGGCCCATTCTTACAGGCACTGTGTCAGTTTATCTCCTAGAGGATCTTTCTCTTTCACTGACTCTCTAGCTTTCCTAGCATAATGTCTTTTTCTGGCCCATAATGCCAAGAAAAAATGCCCAAAGTATGTGAGGTAAGACAAAATTTCACTATCTTTACCTCCAAGGAGCACCCTAGTTGTACTTCCTCAAAGACAGACCTGTTTGGTCTCTTGGAAGTCCATGTGATACTCAGAATTCTTCACCATCACAACTCAAAGGCAGATTCTTCTGTTATTGTTAGTCATTTTCCAAATTTCAGCTGCATAGCAAGTAACTGAAAAGATCATGGCTTAGGTCAGGTATACCTTAGTCTTTAAACTGACATTCTTGCTCTTTAATATTTTGGAAAAGTCCTTGACAGCAGATTTGTCATGTAACAATATTCTTTAAGAAAGGAAAGAGATGAATCCACCAGATGTTGTGCTGTAGAAGGAAGAGCAATCTCCTCCTGTACCAGTCAATAATTTTTAAAAAAAAAGAAAGGAAAGAGAATGTTATTAATAGTATGGGGACCAGGCTGTTCTGAGTGAAAGTGCTTTGCTTTCATATGTATATGACTTCCAGCTTGGCCATTTATCTCCTGCTTCTAGCCAGCCAACACCTCTGAGACACAGGATTGAGAAAGCTCCAGTAACCCAAGACCACCTTGGTTCATTTTATGTCTGCAGAAACTGGCAGCTCCTCTTTTTTGCACTACTTGAAGGGCTGGTTCTCCCTTCACTCTACTGATTTTCTAAACTGGACTTAGACTTGCCTTGCACTGCCTGAGGTCTCTTATCGTTAAACTCTTTTAAATGCCCAGACACCTTAGTATGATAAGAACTGCAGTGGTGGTGGTCAGTAGAAGGTAACGTGGGTTCCTGCCCCCCACTTTTAACATGGTTGAGACCATAGTCCAGGAAAAGGCTTTTTATTTGTGTTTATAGCTTGGTTTTTAATGTTCTTTTTTTAAAAAAACTATGGTATAGTAAAAAGTTTCAGAACATTTTTTGTTTGACTTGGAGTTAATATAACCAGCTCTGTGGCTTTGCTATGTTGTTGTTATGTGCCGTCGAGTCACCTGTGATTCATAGTGACCCTATGCACAACAGCCCTAAACCCTGCTATATCCTGTGCCAATCTTATTGTCTCTGACACATCTATGCCCATTACCCCAGTCACTAAATCAATCCATATCATCAAGTACCTTCTTCTCCTATACTTTCCCTCCCCTCTCCTAAGCATGACATCTCACTCTAAAGACTGGTCCCTCCTTGAAACATGCCCAGAGTATGTCAGACAAAACTTCAGAATCTTTGCTTCCAAGGTGCAGCCTGGTTTAACCATCTCCAGGACACATTTGTTTGTTTTCATAGTAGTCCATAGAATATTCAATACTCTTCTTCAACACCACAGCTCAGAGGCCTCCCTAGTCATTGTCCAGTTCTCTGATGCATAGCACGTTATTGCAAAGATACCTGTATCAGGTGCTCTTTAGTCTTTAGAGTGACACCATTGCTCTTCAGTGCTTTGGAGAGGTCCCTAAATAGCAGAATTTCCCAATACAGTCTGTCTTTTAATTTCCTAGCTGCTGTTGCCAAGAGGGTTGTTTGTGGAGCTAAGCATGTTAGGCTTTATCTAATGAATTATGACTTATGGTGATTTTAGGAATAACAGATAAGAACCTTGCCCTATCCTGTGTCATCCTCAGAATCTCTGTCATACTTGAGCCCATTGTTACAGTCATTGTGTCTATGTCATTGAGGGTCTTCTCTCTGGCCCTCCACCTTTCCTAAGTGATACTTCTTTCCAAAAACTCATCTCACCTGACAGTGTGCCCAAAGTATGAGATAAAGTCTCCTCATCCATGCTTCTAATGGTCACCCTGGTTTCACTTCCTCCAATAGTAATTTATTTATTCTCTTGGCAGACCATGGAATATTCATTATTCTTGCCCAACACCTATTTAAGTTCTGTAAATCTTGATTTCTCAAGCAGTTAAGTTGACTAATACCTTTCTTGTCTTGTGAAGTTTGTGGCAAAATATATATAGCAGCAGTTCCTTGGAAATTTTAAAGCATTGCACGATGATAGATTGTAATTATGATTAACTAAAATATATTTAACCCAGAAAGAGTAAAAAGAGAAAAATCCTCTCCTGTCTTTATTACTACATTTACATTTCAGGTACATGTCTGATTCTTTTACTCTCTGATCGCTATTGTTATTTCCAAGGTTAAACTGTGATAACAAAGTTTAGATTGGGGGAGTTTGGGTTGGGTGGGGTTTTTGGAGGGAGTGTGGAAGATTTAGGCATTTGGTTTGGAAAGACGTATGGCATTGAGGATAGAAGAATAATTTTGGATTGAGTGGTTAAACAGTTGACAGTTGATGGAGGGGGTATGGAGATCAAGATAAGCAGAAGCATTGAGGTAGGAGTGTTTATGTGTGTGTGAGAGAGAGTAAAAGTGGATAGGAATAGAATAAAAAAAATATCAGCTAAGAAATTGCAATGTGTTGTTATCATTGTGTGCCACTGAGTTGGGACCAACCCATAGCTGACCCTCCAGCAGGTTTTCAGAGGCAGTAAATCATACAGGAGGAGAGTGCCCATTCTTTTCTCAGAGAGCAGCTTATTTTCACAAGAGGCCTCTGGGACTCTCTGTAGTTGTATAGGCAGAATAATGCTGTACTATTGGAATTCTTGAAGACATTGTAGAACTGTTTAGACTTACTGTAATAGTGAGCTGTTAGATTCTGGAGCAGACAGGAAGCATGGTTACAAGATCTTCCAAGTCATTCACTCCCTGCTTCACACCCAGCTTTTCCCCATTTCCATCCCCATAAACACTATAAATGTTATCACCCCCAATATCTAAGGATGATTCTAAGGTTTCTAATGAAGGAACATAGAAAAGCTATGGTTGTAAAAAGCTCTGGGTGAGGGTGTTCAATCTGTAGGACACCTTGAACTAAAGACAGCAATGTTTTTAAAATGTGGTTTTACCATATAATTTCAGGTTTACGATATAGCTAGAGATTTTAGACTTTCCCATTTACAGACAGAACAAAAACAGGGTCTTAATATATCAAAATGCAGAATTTCTTTCATACTGGCTGTTTATTGGCAATGTATTAGCAGTTTTGGTTCCTGTCCTCTCAGCCAGAAAGAGGACATTTCTGGAGGGTGTAGAGCCCTCTTTTGTATTCTCCCAGTTGGAATAATCGTGCATTTGATATTTTATATATTGATGAGTTTCTTTAGTTTGGAAAGTCGGAGGTGGTGGTGGTTGTATACCATCAAGTTGAAACCAATCCATAGTTGACCCTCCAGTGGGTTTTCAGAGACAATAATCATGCAGGAGGAGATTGTCCATCCTTCTCCCATTGAGTGGATTTGAACTGCATGTCTTTGGGATTGCAGTTCAGTTTCTTCCCACTAGGCCAAGTTCCCTATCAAAATCATGCTTTTGATGTTATAGGGGTTTTGTTTTAGTTGTTTTGTTTTAGATATTGATGCATGTTTTCAGTGTAAAAGGTCAAAGAGGTAAGACTAGATAATTGATAGAAATTTAACAGATATTCTAGGTTTTCAGTTCCTTTCATGTGTAAAGGTCACTAGCCAACCAACCAGTCCAATTAAGAACCTATTAGTTATTTAGATTGATCCCATGGAAATCTAACCCATAAAATATCTGACGAGGTAGTTAAAGCCACTCTTTATTTGTACTTTTATTCTAATTTGGCCGATTAGTGAGCTTTGTAAAAATATTCTTTATTTATTTCTTCCTTCTTACTCAGGTTTCTGGCTAATTCCCTTGACTGTGTCCTGTTTAGGCCACCTGTATCTGTTTTTTGGGATTGTACCCTAAAATAGAGAGTGGGGTGTTTGTTGTACATCATGTTCTCTATGATTAGGCACAGCCCCAGCCCTTGCAGATGGAGTGTCTGCTTAGGCCCAGGTCTCTTCCCTCAATTTTAAAAATGTGTTTACAGTTTAATTTTTGGAATTTCAAATTATATTTAATTTCCTTTTGATAGAACAATTTATAAATGACAAAGTCTTTATAACTTGATTTTAATCAGTGACTGTGATTTACCTGATCTAACTCAAGGCCTAGTTTGTCTCTTATTTTACTTAGTGGAAACAAAAGTTCATAAGAGTGCAAAATCTGAAAATTCATGAGTAAATAAAAAGTGGAAGGCCAGAGAGAATTTTTATACCTGCCCTGTCTTATGATACTTCTGTCATAGGAAAGCTGGGACAGTTAGCCTGGATATATATGTAAATTACTGTTTGGGTTTTTTACTGCATGATGGAAAGTTTGATTTCAGAAAAGGATGAAAAGTTTTCTTATTTAACCCTTCAGTTTACAAACATATAAAGACCATTTTTAGTTGTGCTTCTATATTTGTTAAATAAGTCAGTTCAGGAATAAGAAAGAGGGATACTATTCAACACTTTGTATCAAAATTCTGGGAGTTTCTATATATTTTAACATTACTGTGCTTTAAGAATTTAGGCATACATCATAACTTACTTGTATTTTCTTTTGAATTATCTTCCTATGTAAGTCTTCTTGTTTTTACTTTGACTCTTCGTAGGTGAATGGAGGCATTGAGAACACTTTAGAGAAGGAGGTAGTGCAGTATGACTACTACTCTTCTTACTTTGATATATTTGTAAGTATTTTCTCTTTTATATTTCCTTTCAGACATAATGGAAACAAAAAGCAAAGGTTCTTTTAAATGAGCCTTAAATTGGTGCCTTTCTTTCCCCCCCTCCCTCAAATGCTAACTGTATTTCCTTCTCCTTTTGTTATAAGCTCATTCAATGCTACTTCTCTCTTACTGAAGGAGCTCTGGTGGCATAGTCTGTAGGCAATTGCATTGCTAACCCAAATGTGATGCTTCTCTGATAGTCCAAATCATGTGACAGCTCTGCAGGAGAAGAATCTGACAGCTCTCCAGAAGAAGGATAGACACTGTGTGATTTACCAACTCTCAAATCCTGCTGGAGGTTCAGCTATCAGGTGATTCCAACACCACAGCAATGAGTTTTAGTTTTGTTTTATAAGAAATTGTTTAGTTACTTCAAGGGAAAAGGATCAACTGGAGATGCTAGAGGACAGCAAAAAGAACCACTTGCATTTCCTTGTAGGAAAGTCTGTTCTTCCAAATGTTTGAGACAACACACTTTTTGACATAGCCTAATGACTCAATTGTATTGACTATGCAAATGCATTTGACTATAGATCAAAACAAATTATGTCTAATATTTAGAAAAATTGGAATCCCAGAACACTTAGTTACATTTATATGAAACCTATACCTAGGCTAATGGGCTAGTGTTGGAACAGAACAAAGGAACACTGCATAGTTTAATATCAAGAAAGGTATGTGTTAGGGCTGTGTTCTTTCTCCATACGTACTCAGACAGGTGCTGAACAAATCATTTGAGAAGCTAGACTTAGAAAGAAGAATGTGGCATCAGGATAGGAGGAAGAGTCATCAACAACTTGTGTTAAGCAAATGACATAGCCTTTCTTGCTGAAAGTGAAGAGGACTCGAAACATTTGCTGCAAAAGATCAAGGACTGCAGCTTTCAATATAGATTACATCTCAAAAACAAGAAAATAAGACTTCTCACCAAGACCAGTAGGCATCATCATGATAGATGGAGTAAAGATTGAAGTTGGTGATAACCTCTTGCTTGGTGCCCAATCAACACCATAACAGTCAAGATATTAGAAGATATGTTGTATTCGGGAAAGTCTGCTGTCAAGGACCTCTCCAAAGTTCTAAGGAGCAGTAATATGTTTAAAGATTAGGGTGCACCTAATTCAAACCATGGTCTTTTCAGTTACTTTCTGTGCCTCTGAAAGATGGACAGTGACAAAGATGAGAGAAGAAAAATCAATGCCTTTGAGTTGTACTATTAGAGAGGAGTGCTGGATATCCCCTACACTTTGAAGAGCACAGACAAATATGTTTTGGAGAAAAGTGCCATCCAGGATGCTTTGTGGAATTGAGGATTGCTAAAGCTTCAACACACATAATTTGAACATGTTGTTAAGAGAGGTCACTCCTTGGACATCACGCTTGGAAAGGTGGATAGTCTGCGGAAGAGAGGAAGACCTTCAATGAGATATATAGATTGCCACAGTTATTGAAACAATTGGCCCAAGTATATTTGAGATGGTGAGGATAGCACAGGATAGGGCAAGGTTCGAACTCTTGTTCATAAGATCACTATGAATCATACTCAATTTGACAGCACCTAACAACAACAACAACAGTAAAAGTCAAAGTCATCTATTTATATCATTGCTTATTGTTGAAACTGATGTGTTGGTTCAAGCTAGATGGCAGTGGCCTGACTTGAGAGATAACGTGGTGGTGATATGGACCTTGCACTGCAGCCAGAGTAGCTCCATTTTCATATCTTGGGTATATTAGGTTTCCCCACAGTGTTTTGTTAAAAAAATGTTTGCCACAGAGTTTTAAAATAAGGAATAGTTTCATAGTTCAGTTGCTTGACTTACCAGATCATTTAAGTTAGTAGCAGAGCACTGAAGTCCTAAATTTCTAGATATTTCTTTCTTCTAAAATTATTAGAGATTACAGTTAATAAAATAAGGGTTTTTTTTCTTTTTTCCCCCCTCAAGTCCTCCCCTTATTTTGTCTTGAAATTGAGTCAGAAAGCCACATTAATCCACCACTCCAAAGGCTTTGTGGCCTCCATGATTAGGGAATTAATGGCTGCAGAATATAGAGATAGAGTTGTAATGATTGAAGAAGCAAAACAGTAAACAGATTTGGAAAACTTAGTTTTTAATGAAAGTGGTGTATTAGAAACATTTAACTTACAAACTTCGCTTACATAAAGGTATCTTAAGTGAGCTTTTCTTCTGGTCCTTGACTATGAAGAAGTTCTCAAACTTCAAACTTTGAGCAGTTTTGATTAGCAATAAAATGTTGACATGTCTCTAACCTGACAAATTGTTCAAGTCACTTGACTTCTCCCACTTATCCTAAAATTGGAAATATTTTGTTATGTCATTCTGAAATAAATGGGTGATCAGACTTTGTGTGTATTGTGTGGTTGACAGTCAGGAACAAGTCATGCCTAACTGAATGGATTGAGGGGCTGAGAAAGGCTAAAGAAAAGTCCACACACAGAAACAGTCATGGAAGTCTGACAGAGTGGGACCAGAAGGAATTGGAGCAGAGATTAATGGATAGATGGATAGGGTGAAGGGGAAGCAAGAATACAGTGAGGATAGATAAGACATTGTAAGATGTTTACATTATGTTTGCACAATGTAAATAATGGTATTGTGCAACTGTGATTAATGTAAAGCAAAATACATAAAAGTTTTCAACAAAAATCAGTTAAACAATGAAATATGTCAAATCAAAGGGAAAAAAGGAATTTCTAACATATCTGTGACAGTGTTTAAGAGCCTTGCTCTTTGGAGTAAGGTTACCTGGTTCAAATCCTGGTTCCATTACTAAGGGTATGTGTCACCAAACCTTTCTGCCTTGGTTTCTCCATCTGTATAATGGGACTAGTGATACAATTTTATGATTGTTGATGTGAGGGATTACATAGGCTAATATTAGAAAAGGTATCACTATTGTTACTGATAGGTAACATCTAGTGATCCTGTGAAATACAGACCTGAACCTTGCCTCCACCACTCTCGCAGACTCTGATATACCCCAGCCCATTGTTGCAGTCACTGTATCAATCTTTAAGGGTTATCGTCTAGCTCTACCCTTCACCCTTTCCAGCATGGTATCTTTCTCTAAGGACTGTTCCCTCCTGATAGCATGCCCAAAGTCTGTGAGGTGAAACAAAGTTTTACCTCCTTGTCCCTAAGAAACACCCTGGCTGCGCTTCCTCCAAGATAGACTTTGTTCTTTTGACAGCCCATTTCAGTACTGTTTGCCAACACCAAAATTCAAAGGCATTGATTGTTCTTCTCCTAGCCTTTATTCATTATCTGACTTTCACATGCTTAGGACACAGTTGACTATATCATGGCTTGAATCAGGCACAGCTTTCTCTTTGCGTGTGTGTGTGTGTGTGTGTGTGAGATACACTTACTTTTAAAAAATTTTGTTAATTTCAATGAAAGTTTAGAGAGACTTAGGGTTTCCAGTCATTCATTGTTGCACTTTCTCCCTGCCCCCCCAATTAACTCTTCTTCTTGAAAAGAAAAAGAAAAACTCTTCAATTGTTATGTGCTACCTCCCCCCAAGTCCCCTCTACTATGCAGCCTTCACTCTGGACTTCTGTAATGACAATAATACCCATTCATATATCCCTTTTAAACAGTTCTCACCCTCATATTTTTCAGTGCAATAGACATTATTCCTCCCCTCCTTTTCTGTTTGTCCTCAACCCTGATGTCAGTCCTGTTTTACAGCAGTGGCCCTATGCAATATTTGTCCTTTTTTGACTGAGATATTTCTGCATAATGTCCTTCAGAGTCATCCATTTTGCATAATATTTCACGAGTTCCTTGTTTTTCAGTGCTGCGTAGTATTCCATTGTGTGAATATACCAGACACAGCTTTGTCTTTAAACTCAACATCCTTGCTCTTTAGCATGTTAGAGAGTTCGTGGACAGCAGATTTTCCTATGCAAAGCATCTTTTGATACCTTGGCTGTTGCTGTCATGGATGTTGATTGTTGATCCAAATAAATGAAATAATTGAGGACTTCAACCTTTTTTCCATCAGTCATAATGTTGCCTATTGGTCTAGTGTTGAGGATTTTTATTTTCTTAATGTTGAGATATAATCCATATTGAAGGCTTTGATTTTTCTGAAGCTACTGTTTCAAGTACCCTTCACTTTCTGAGCAAGGCTGTGTTGTTTACATAACACATGTTATTAAAGAGCCTTCCTCCAATCCATTCTTCTTCATGTTAATTTTCTCTAATTATTTTTCAACAAACAGTTTGAATAGGTACAGTGTAAGGATATAGCCCTGATGCACACTTTTCTCGATTTAAAACCATACAGTGCTCCTTCGTTCTTTCAGATAATTGCTGCTGCTTCTCAGTCTATGTATAGATTTGGCATAAGCACAATTAAGTGTTCTGGGATTCTATTCTCCTTGATGTTAGCCATATTTGTTACAATCCACACAAATGCCTTTTTATAATTAATAATACACTTATAAATATTTTTTCTAGTATTCTCTGCTTTGAGCCAAAACCCATCTGACATCAATATTGATATCACTTATTCTACTTCTGAATCCAGTTTGAATTTCTGGAAGTTCTCTGTTAGTATACTGTTCAATCCATTTTTAAATAATTGTCAGCAAGATATTGCTTGCATATTATATGAATGATACTGTTCACTAGTTCCACATTATGTTGAATCATCTTCCATATTATGTTGAATCATCTTTTTTTGAATGGGAACAAATATGGGCCTCTCTCATTCTGCGAAATTTCTTGGCATAAACTGGTGAATGTCTTCAGTGCTGAATCTGTTGGTTAAAACGTGTCAGTTGATGTGATATTAATACCTGGGGCCTTATTGTAAATTCTTACAGTGCAACTTGAACCTCTTTCTTCATTACCATTGGTTCTTGAGCATATGCTACTAATTGAAATGTTTCAGTGTGACCATTTCTTTTTGTTGCAGTGCCTTTTTGTATTCTTTACATCTTCTTTTTATGGTTTCTTCATTATTCAAGATTTCACCCATACAATTCTTCAGTATTGCAACTTGAGCCTTGAATGTGGTGTTCAGTTCTTTCAGCTTGAGAAATGCTGATTTTTTTTTTTTATTTTCTAACGCCAGCTCTTGGCACATTTGATTATAATGCTTCGTCTTGTCGTCTTTAGCTGCCCTTTGAAATACTCTGTTCATCTTTTTTACTTTAGCATTGTTTTAGTTTTAACCTCTTTGTGTTCTTGTGCAATTTTCAGAATTTCTTCTGCCATCCAGTTTGGTGTTTTTTTTTTCTCCTGTCTTTATGGATGATATTCTTGATTTCCTACCTCAGCTCTCCTGGTCTTATCATCAGTGTGTCCCGTCATTAATATTCACTTCACTGGCTCTGTTCTGGAGAAGGATTTTAAATTCATATGGGATCGATTCAGGGTCATATGTTGATTCTTATGGACTTGTTTTCATTTTCTTCAGCTTCTGTTTGAACTTACACATGAGTAATTGAGGATCTGTTCCACAGTCAGCACTTGGCTTTGTTTTGACTGCTAATATTGAGCTTCTGGATTGATTCTTTTCACAGATGTAGTCAGTCTGATTCCTTTGAAATCAAATGAGGTCCATGAATAACCACCATTTCTGTTTTTTTTAAAAGGTATTTGTAATGAGTAAATCATTAAGTGCATAAAATTCAGTCATTCTGTCTCCAGCCTCGTTACTGGAACCAAGTCTGTATTTTCTGACCACCAGTCAGTTTTTCTTTGTTTCCAACTTTTACATTCAAAGTACCAATTGTTATTAATGCATCTTGATTGCATGTTGGATCAATTTCAGACTGCAAAAGTCAGTAGAAGTCCTCAATTTCTTCATCTTTGACTTTAGTTGTCAGTGTGCATATTTGAATAATAAATTTGTTGCTAGAGGTATCACTGACAGCGTTGTACTTCAGGATAAATCTTGAAATGTTCTTTTTGACCGTTCTTCCTTAATTTGTCATTCCCAAGATAATCAATCATGATTGTCTGATTCATAGTGGACATTGTCTGATTCATAGTAGACATTACCAGTCCATTTCAGGTCACTAATGTCTCTGCTGTAAGTCTTTATGCATTACTTTTATTTTTACAACATCCAGTTTTCCTAGATTCATACTTCGTGTAGTCCATGTTCCAGTTATTAATAGATGTTTGCAACTGTTTCTTCTCATTTTTAAATGTATTTCCAGTACTATGTATAACAATATTCCTTTGTTATTCATAGGGTTTTCAAAGTCCTGTTATTTCGTCTTAGTCTGAAAGTTCCACTGGAAACGAATGACCATGCTAGCATTTGAAATAACTGGTGCATAGCTTCAACAACATACAAGTCACCCTAGTACAGCAAATTGACAGACAAATAAGAGTAAACTATAATAAACAATCAACCATATTCATGCACAAATTTAAAACAAGTAACAATATGCAAGCCACTGACTTCAGTATAGGAAAGTGATAGGGAAGTGTCGTACCAATAAGAGCAGGTATTGATAATTAGAAATTTCAATCTATATACAGAACAGATAATTTCTAAACCTAGACTTTATGAAGAAGAATGTAGAATCGGGATTTGAGGAAGGTTCATCAACAACCTGTGTTATGCAGATGACACAGCCTTCCTTACTGAAACTGAAGAGGACATAAGGCATTTGCTGTGGAAGGTCCAGGACTGTAGTCTTCAATGTGAATTGAAGCTCAACAACAAAGAAACAAAGATTTTCACCACTTGGCCTGTTGGCAACTTCATAATATTCAAAGAAGAGATTGAGATTGTTGATAACTTCAGCTTGCTTTGTTCTATAATCAACACTCTTAGCACCCATGGTCAAAAAATCAAAAGACAAGTTGCATTGGGAAAGTCTGCTGTCAGGGACCTCTCCAGAGTCCTGAAGAGCAATAACATCATTCTGGAGACTAAGGTGTGCCTGATCCAGGCTGTGGTCTTTACAGTTACTTGCTATGCATCAGAGAGCTGGACAATAATTAGTGATAAAAGAAGGATTGATGCCTTTGGGTTGTGGTGCTGGAAAAGAGTGTTGAACATACTGTCTACTTCTAGGAGAACAAAAAGATCTGTACTGGAGAGGATGAAACCAATTTGATCTCTGGAGGCTAGAATTTTGAAGCTCCATCTCTCATACTTTGACACATGGCCAACGGGGCATAGGGGACCGGTCCTTGGAGAAGGACATCATGCTTGGAAGGGTGGAGGGACAGCACAGGAGAGGAAGACCCCAGATATGATGGGCTGACTCAGTGACTGGAGAAATGGGATCAGGTCTGTCAGAGACGTTGAGATTGGCTCAAGATGGGACATCTTTCTGAGCTATTGTCCATAGGGTCACTATGAGTTGTAGGTAACTTGATGGCACATAACGACAAGAGGAAACCATAAAACAAGCAAGCATTTAAATATCATAAAACAGATATGGATGCTATGGGAAAGATATGTTAAGGATATGTCAAGCATTGGGGCACCTAGCATGGGGCAGGATTTCTGCTGTCCACAGAAGAACCCTGACAAGTCTGCCTGGTTAACCATGGCGTCTCCTAGTTTAGGGGAAGTGCACCCTCTAACCTGGGTGCTGTGTGCAACTCACTGGTACCAGAGTCTGCAGGCCCTGGGAGGAATACTTTCAGAGCTCTCAGCTCCACATACAGGAAAGTATGACTGTAGCCTGAGGTAGAGCTGGATTTTTGGGGTGGTGGACATGGGGAAGTTGGAAACACTGGTTTGCCACCTCATGAGTAGTGATAAGGGCATAGGGGACTAGAGGGAGATTGGACCCTTTTACCTGTGTAGATACCACAGCTACTACCCATATTAATAATAAAATGTTAACTACCGACCTCTCCCTAAGACCCCAATATACCAGAATTTTGATGTGGGCTTCACTGAGAACCTACCTGATAGCTCCTAAAATGAGAGTTTGTGTCTGAAGTAGAAAAGCCTGTGTTCAGAGGATTGCCTCCTGCCTTGAAATGGTATATGTCAGTCATTTTTGGCCTTTTGAGTCAGAATCACTTCAAAGCTGACCCACTAGCAGGTTGTCAAAGACCATAAATCACAGGGGAGGAGATTGCCCATCTTTCTGCCTTAGAACAACTGGTAGATTCAAACCAAGCCTTTGTGTTGGCAGTACAATGCCCTACTCACTAGACCACAAGAGAGTCCTGGTATATCTAGAACTCTCAATCTCTTTTCTGTCCAGTTGGAACCAACTGATAGCTGACCTTCCAGCAGTTTTCTGGAGGCTGTGAATATCACTGGGTACAATATAGATTTAAACTACCAGACAGAGGCTGCCTGCATGTTAGCAGGGCTCTTCCCTACCGACTGTGCTGCCAGAGCTTCGTCAGTATGTTCTTTTCTCCCCCCTTGTGCACCGTCAATGAGATCCAACTGGCACGGAAGGAGATGTCCCTTCTTTCTCCAGCAGAGCATCTGGTGGATTCGAACCCTGCACCTTTGGGATTGCAGTGCAGCTTCTTGCACTAGGCCACCAGAGTTCCCTGTGTTCTTTGATAATAGGAAATTGATTTGAAACCCTTTTTTGTGTAGTATTACAGTTTTGTTTTAGAGCTTAACTTCCCAAATGCTAAATAAATTTTTATATGTATTTAAATAATGTTCTCTCTTTCTCTTTTGAAACACAGCTTTTGGCGGTTTTTCGCTTTAAGGTGTTGATACTTGCCTATGCTGTCTGTAAACTGCGCCATTGGTGGGCGATCGCGGTGAGTGCCCTGAGTGATTGATCAGTCCCTGTGGGTAGGGCTGCCCAGCACCTATCACAGCTGTGAGCCTTTTTCTAGTTTCCTCCTTCCCCATTTCAGTTGTTTACCACTCCAGGCTTCTTTCCAGGGTTAATGTATAACTAACTAGATTCATCTGTGGACGCCAATCCAGTTGAGAAATTCAGGGGCCCTAGAATAATTATTGGCTGATAACTACTCCATTTGAGAAGTAGGATGAGCTCACTGCTGTTAAAATATTTAGAAATTGTCTTGTTTGGCAGAAACTCCTTAGTGATTTTTTCCTAATATGAGTCTACTTATTTTAATAATGTCTCCCCTGCCCCTCATCTTATTTCCCTTCTATCTCAAAAGGAAATCTCCAGAGCTCTTTTTTCTTGTTGTCTTTGGACTATGTTGAAGGCAGTGACTTCATTCATCTGTTTTCTTTCATCGAGAACAGAACTTGACACATGCTTTTTACCCTCAGTAAATATTTGCCGGTTGAAATAATTATAATCCCTTCTTCCTGAGTTACTTTTGCCAGTTCCCAGATACTCACCTTTTTGAGAGGAAATCTATCAGGGGAGTTGTTGGGCTCATCAGATTAGAGAGACTGCTCAGAAATAAGCTGCAGTCCAGCAATTAATAGGAATAAGATTAATTGGAATATTATTATTATTATTATTTAACTGATATTATACTTATTTAATGTTTTAATTTAATAATTAATTTACTAATATTAATTTATATTAATAGGAATAAGATGCAGCCTCCAGTGTGAGTCTTTTGTTTCAGTAGTTGTACTGTGTTTGGATATTTTAACTTCTGGTACACAACACTTCCCAACACATTAGCTTCCTAAGAAAAGAGAGCAGGGAATCCACAAGTGGTCAGTGTTAGAGTCCCAGCCTAGTGGACCAGGAAGGGAAACCTGGGCTTCTGTCCCTGGGAGCATTTCACCACGGGCAGGCCTGCCTGTCTGTCTGGGCCGTTTCTGACCATTCACAGAATCATAGGACTGTGATCGATCAGATCTTCTTAGAGATAAAGCTCCACCTACACGTGGAGATTGACAGCCCTGGCCAGGCTTGACTCCCTACAGTATCAGCATATCAGTGGCCACCACTACCAAGCAACTCACTCTGAACTGTGGGAGAGGGAGGGGTGAGAGGGAGAATATATGTGAGACTTTCGTGTGTGTGTGTGTGTGAGAGAGAAAGAATATATGTGAGAGAGAGTACATTTGTGAGGGAGAATGTGAAAGAGAGGGAGAATATGTGTGTGTGTGTGTGTGTGTGTGTGTGTGTGTGTGTGTATGTGCATGTATGTGAGTGAGAAAGGGAGAAAATATGTGAGTATGTGTGTGAGGGAATGAGGGAGAATATGTGTGAGAGTGTGTGTGTGTGTGAAAGAGAGGGAGAATATATATGTGAGAGGGAGAATGTGTGTGTGCGCACACACATGTGTGAATGAGAGGGAGAGAATATGTGAGTGAGTACATTTGTAAGGGAATGAGGGAGTGTGTGTGTGAGAGAGAGAGAAGGGGAGAATACGTGAGTGTGCTTTAGTGGTGGTGCTTTGTTAACCAATAATAAAAGTGAACCTTTGTTAACACTTAGAATGGTACCTGATGCTCCCCCGCCTCTGTTCTGTCAGTTACGGCTGCTGCTGGCATTTTCTGTGGTCAGGTTTTCAACTCTACTCATATGAACTGAGGATGGAGTGACGTGGTCCAGGAACTGTGGGGTTCTCTCTGAGTTTCACACCCCCTCAGGAAAGCCCTGTCTGTGCATTTTGCTAATTCTGCTTTAAGTGATTGTGATAGGTTTAAATATTTTACCTTCCAGTGGACAAAAGTTAGCTTCCTGACACAACAGCTTCCTAAGAGGTGAAAGAAGGAAATCATAGGTATCAAGTGAGAGAGGTTGAGTGCTACATAGAAGCCCTCTTTGCTTTGCCTTGAGTTTTAGCACTGGAAGCGTAAAGTTATGGGACAAGAAACAAGGCTGGGGCCAGGCACAGCCTCTCACCCACCCCCTCCTGCTTCAGATGGCCAAAGGGTCTCTTCTGAGGGAGGCACTGTCACAGCATGAAAAGTCTACATGGAAGATTCTTAGGGTTCATGACCAGGGTGACCAGTGCCTTTCTATTTTCAAAACCAATCTTCTCAAAGGCGTGGCTTTGCACTCTTTTTCTGTACTGCTGTTTGTAATGACCCAATGTGTCTCTTTCAGTTGACGACCGCAGTGACCAGTGCCTTCTTATTAGCAAAAGTGATCCTCTCAAAGGTACGGCCTAGTGCTCACCATTCCCAATGGTGATGACCAAGCCTGGGTTTGCCCTGCGAGCTCATGCTAACTGCATTTCCCTCTTCCACTCGCATCTCTTCTTCCAGCTTTTCTCTCAAGGGGCTTTTGGCTATGTGCTGCCCATCATTTCATTCATCCTTGCCTGGATTGAGACCTGGTTCCTGGACTTTAAAGTGTTACCTCAAGAAGCGGAAGAAGAAAACAGTAAGTTTCTCTCAACATAAGCTTCCTGTGACTCACTGAGTGCTGAGCAGAAGGATGTCTTGGTTAGAGTGGAGCTGCACACAATTGCAGTTAGGCAAGGTAGATAGCTCCATTGTTCAGTAGCTATAGCAAAAATCAGGAGAAAGGATGGTGAAAGAATAGGGCCAGGTAGACACTGTGAACAGTGATGAAAACAAACAAATGTTCAAATAACAGCTACAAAAACAGCCAGCACCTTTCTCTTCAGTCCAGCTGACCTTTTATTTCTCCCTGCTAGTGATAATGATAGTAGACCAACCATTCTGTGCATATAAACAAGACTAGTGTTTACAGGCAAGAAAATCAAGCAAAATTTGAGTGAAGTGAGGCAAAATAAAACCAGTTCAACAGAGTCTCACATTATGATCCAGACAACCTGGGCAGGGGCCGGGAACATTGAATGGTTTATAGTTATTTGTGATACTGTTGAGTACCTGCCACGGGGACTCTTTGTGGATTAGTGATGAAGGTGGTATCTAGAGGAGGAAAGTCGTAAGCCAGAGAAAAGCCTAACCTTTTTGGGATTTCATCTTTTCCATGTCTGTGTAGTAGTTTGCACTGTGTAGTGGCACGATCTGCTACAGCCAAGCTGGTCTCACTGTGTGGCTGCGAACATCCAGCATGTTAACAGGGAAAGCTGAATGACTGGTTGAGCTTCTTGATTACTTACCAGGCTGGAATTCTTCCCTCATGCTGTTAGTAGCAAAAGCCCCCTGGACATTGCATCAGGGACTCTTGGAGGTTTAAGATGTGCCATGTTTATGCTGTCAATTATTGACTCTTTATCTTGCCTAACAGGGGAAAAAATAAATCTTGTATCTTATATAAACCTAAGCATGATTATAATATCCTGAAGAAACAAAGAGATTAAAAAAGTATCCTTACAAGATCTTTACAAGTAGTTTTACTTTGGCAAATCTCATTTACAGAGATGAAATCTATAAGGAAAATGTTATCATTCAAAAGCGTATTTTTCACCCAGTATATTTACTAGGCTGAGATGTGTCTTTTATCTTGTAACCTCTGTTTATTTATAAAAGCATATTTTATTAAAGGGACAAGTACAAATAGAGCTAATGGAAGTCTCTTTTTAATTTTATAAACACATCACACTGAACTCTTTCAGAAACATAGTGAAGATTATGGGTGAGGCTTGACTGCTTACAGAATTAAGCCAAGTTCAAAGTAACCAGTAAATAAAGTGAGACAGAAATGAATGAAAATCACAGAAGCATCACTGCTTGGATGTTGGTAGTACATATTCCACACAGGTGGCACCTGCTTCTTGGACCATGGCTTCCTAACTCTCTCTACACAGCCTTCAGTCAGGAGAACTCAGTCGTGGTGGCTCCTCTCATCCGGTGGGACTTTCTCGAGGTGTCCACATCACACTTCCTCCTTTCTCTCATTGTTTTCTTTAATGTATTCCTTTTATGAGGAGAAATTTTTATTATGTAAATACTGTTTCTTCATCTTGAATAGTTTTTAAATGTTGATAAAAAGTCATTCTTTTAATGGATTTTATATTTGTCATTTCTTTAACAAAAAAAATCCTCTAGCTTGAGGATTGTTAATTTTTTTATAGGAGGGTAGATATTCTCAAGGGAAGATGCTATTAAATATGGAGTAAAAAAAATCCATGGTTAGCATATGACTATTGTTTAAACTGGCTGGTATATAACATTATAGTACTAGTTCATAGTTTATTAATGGAAAAATGTTTTCATAAAAAGGCCAAGAGATTTTTTTAACTACCTCTTTTTACTAAGAATTTTAAAAAGCAATAATAGCACCATTACTGTGCTTAATCTTGCAAGAAACTTCTAGAATGATGGCATCATTCTATAATTTCTTTTCTTCCAGGACTGCTGATAGTTCAAAATGCTTCTGAGAGGGCGCCACTTATACCTGGTGGTCTTTCTGATGGTCAGTTTTATTCTCCTCCAGAATCAGAAGCAGGTAAAAAATTTCATTATTGCTTGTGGTTTTGTTTTGGATTATAAAACTCAGCTTGCACACTTGTTTTCTCAGTCTTTCTGCCTCTGACTCTCCTTCTCTCTCTCTCTCTCCATCTTACCAAACATTTACCATGCCAGGGACTAAAGATAGGAAAATAAATAGCGTTAGACTTGATGTAAGACCAGTAGCGGTGTGACCCAGTGATGACAGCAATTTGGTGAAGTAAAGAAGGATGTGCACTGTGATGTGTCCACATCTTAGAAGACAGGAAGAGAAGGGAGGAGGCGTGCGGCCCTCTCTTCCATGCCTTTCCCCTCCTTCCTCCAGGATTCTCCGGGTCTGAGAAGGCAGCACTAGCACTGTCTACACACTTGCCCGCTCTAGAATCCAGGGCCTTACTGCAGCCCTATTGCTCTTCCCTCATTGATTGTTACCTCCTTTATCTTACTCAGTTTGCCCCCACTTGCTGTCATTTCCAGTATCAGATCAGTGTTTGTTGTTTAAGGTCCTGCACTAACCTCTTAACTGACTGCCTATAATCTTATCTCCCAAATCAGGGTTCTCTGTTACCAGTAACAAGTAGTAACCAGTAGTCAATGTCAGGCTCTGTTCTAAGGGATTTACTAATACTGACACCTTTTCTCTGTAAAACCACTCTGTCAAGGAGTCCCTGGGTGGTGCAGTAGTTAAGCCCTCAGCTCTTACAGCTCTTAAGCTGAAAGGGGGTTGTTGAGTACCATTGCGTTGAAACTGACTCATGGCTGACCCTCCAGTGGATTTTCAGACACATGAAATCACACGGGAAGTGATTGTCCATCCTTCTCCTGTGGAGCAGCTGAAAAGAGAGGAGTTTCAATATCCCCAGAAGCATCTCAGGAGACAGACCTTGAAAGCCCTTCAGGGTAGTTCACGTCTGTACACAGGGAACTTCCATTTTATTGTTTCGGCTCGGTGCCATTGTCAGCTTCGACTCATAGCAGTGTTTGGACAGCAGAATGAAGTCATGCCCAGTGCTGTGCCATCCTCACTATCTCACTGAGGTTGACTCGGGCCTGCAACCACTCTGCCACTCCACCTTGTTCAGGGTCTTCATCATTTTCACTGACTCTATCAAGCAGGATGTCTTTCTCTGGGGACTGGCCCCTTTAGATAACATGCCTAAAATATGTGAGGCAAAGGCTTTGCTCTTTTGGCAGACCGTGGTATAGTTAGTTTTCTTTTCTGTCACAATTGAAAGGTATTTGTTCTCTTTTGCTCTTCCTCATTCATTGTCCAACTTTCACGTGCATATGTGAAGTTCTCAGTAGTAAGCACAATAAATATTTTAAACACATACAATGTAATAAAACAGATTCTAAAAAAAATAACAAAAAAAAAAACAGATTCTAGGCTGAGAATGCCTTGTGAATGATCAAAGCCTTGGCAATATGAAATGTCAGTGTATTAGGAGAGCTCCAAATACCTAGAGATTTTGGTCTATTGAAGTCAGAAAGCCGTAGAAAGTACAAAAACAGAGCCAAATGATAGACAGTTATGGATTAGCTGAAGACTAGAATTAAGTATTAAACTTTTTATGATCTCATACTGTTTATTTCGTTTTGCTTTTTCAAGATGATAGGACTCTTTCTTAAAAAAAAGAAAAGAAAGATCATTTATAGTTCATGTATTTATCTTGTTAGGTGCCGTCAAGTCAAGTATGAGCCATAATGACCCTGTGAACAACAGATCTGATACCCGTCCTATCCTTATGTCGTCTTTACACTTCCTGACACACTAGAGCCCATTGCAGCAGTCACTGTGTCAGTCCACCTGGTTGAGGGTCTTCCTCTCCTGTGCCAACCGTCCACCCATCCCAGCATTATGTCTCTCTCCAAGGAATAGCCCCTCTTAGAAACACAGTGTTGTATTTTTTTAACCACTTATTTTTCTGAGACTAATAAAATTTTTCAATAATAATAGTTTCACAGTGGAAAAAGGCATCGTGCTGTGAAAGGGCAGGAGGGGAAGTGGATCAGAGAAAGGAGAAGACCCTTGGGAAGATGGCTTGACAGTAATTTAACAGTGGACTCTAGAGCATATCAGAGATTGGGAGGATGGTGCAGGGTCAGGAAAGGTTCCAAGAGTTCCTCCAAGTGGCAGTCAACTCAATAGCACTATCTCTTCTTTTTTTAAAAAGAATACTTTTATTTTTACTAGTTTGTTTACACGGTTCGAATATATTGTTTTTATGTGGGATCCTTCCCATTCCGTGACTCCCCTTAACCCCTCAAATTGTGCGATCTGATGATTAACATCTCCCCCCATCTTCACCCCTTGTTTTATACAGTATTTGTCATTATGGGACTGAGTTAGTTCACTCAGCATAATGCTGTCCAGTCCCTCCCAAGGTAGGTAATAATTTGCAAAATCATTGCTCCTGCGAGCACTTTATTAATTGGAAGGAATATCACCTCAAGCATATTTTAAGCGTTCCTTCTGTTGTCTTCCTGCCTGAGGCTTTTACTGCCACCTAGTGGAAGTCAGAAGCCGTTTCATTTTATTGGGTTATAAAGCTAAACAATGAAAATTCCATGTTGACTTTGTTTTAATTCGTTTAAAAAATTAAAATGCACATTACTACTTAAAAGAGTAGTTTACAAAGTGGCTTGATTTACTATATTGTAGTTGCATTATCTGAATATTCAATTTACCCAATTGAAAGCTACTACTTTAATTAGTGTGCTTGTTAAAAGAAGGTTCTTACATTTCTTTTAATTGGAACAGGTGCTTATTCAGCTAAAAAATTTAAAAAGAAGCTTTAAATTATTCATTGAAGAGAAGGAATCCATTCCCAGCTCCAAAAGTATCTTTGGGATTCTGTGAAAACTTGGGATTGGGGGCAAAAAGATGCTTTTCACCATTAAAGCCTAGTGAAATGAATCCCAGTTGCATTTAACAGAAGGTGCCAGGTATGAGAGAACACTAATAGTATTACAACGGGTAAAAGAGCACACAGTATGATGAATTAATGTTCCTTTTGAGGATAACTTTCATTAGTCTATTAGCCTAATAGGCCAACATGTGAATTAAACTTAGGGCACATTTATCTTATTTAGATTTACCCTAGCCACATCATATTGCATCTGGTACCAGTTTTCCAAAGTATACAAAGGTTTGACACTGACCAATAATTTTTGTAGGTCATCTCTTACATGCAAACATTCGTTGTTTGGTTGGTTGGTTGTTTGCTTTTTTGTTTTTAATACTGTGGCTAACTCTGAGAAAAATGGCAATCCTAGAACACCTAATCCTGCTAATGCAAAACCTCTACTTCGACCAGGAGGCAGTTGTCAGGGCAAGGAAACACTGCATGGTTCAATATTGGGATGGGTGTACACCAGGGATGTGTCCCATCGCCATATCTTTTCAATCTGTATGCAGAACAGATTATCCAGGACACTGGGCTCTAGGAGGAGAAATGTGGCATCATTATTGGAGGAAGACTTATCAATAGTGTGCCTTATGCAGATGACACAACCCTGCTGGCTGAAACTGAAAAGCACCTGAAGTGCTTGCTGCAGAAGGTCAAGGACTGTAGCCTTCAATATGGATTAAAGCTCAATATCAAGAAAACAAAGATTGTCACCACTGGCCTGATTGGCAACATCATGATAGGTGGTGAAGAGATTGAGATTGTTCACTGCTTTAGTTTGCTTGGCTCCACAGTCAACACTCTTGGTATCAGCAGCCAAGAAATTAAAAGACATATTGTGTTGGGAAAGTCTGATGTAAGGGACCTCTCCAGAGTACTAAAGAGCAACAGTGTCATTCTGGAGACTAAGGTGCACCTGATACAGGCCATGGTCTTTGCAGTAACTTGCTTTGCGTCAGAGAGCTGGACAATGACTATGGATGATAGAAGGAGAATTGATGCCTTTGAGCTTTGGTGTTGGAAAATAATTTTTAATATACCATGGACTACTAAGAGAACGAACAGGTTTGTCCTGGAGAGTATGAAGCCAGGCTGCTACTGGGAGGCAAGATTTCTGAAGCTTTGTCTGACATACTTTGGACATGTTGCAAAGAGTGGCCAGTCCTTGGAGAGGGATGTCATGCTTGGGAGGCTGGAGGGACAGCGCAGGAGAAGACCCTAGATGAGATGGATTGATTTCAGTGACTGGGGTAAAGGGGATAGGTGTGTCAGAGACAATATTGGCACAGGATAGAGCAGGGTTTAGGGCTGTTGTACATAGGGTCACTGTGAGTCACAGGTGACTCAACAGCACGTTAACAACAACCACTGTACTAGTTTATTAACAAAATTCTAATACATTGTTTTCCAGACCAGTTTAGAAGAAGATTCTTTTCTAAAGCAAAACTCGGTAGGTAGGCACTGTCTAAAGAATAAACATCAGGCTAGAGATTAAACATTAACTGAAGTCAGACTTCCTTTACCACGACACATCATATCTACCCTTGTAGATATAAGGCAACAGGGACCTGCCTTATCTGTTCTCTTGTGCTCTCTAACGAGCATTTAGCACAGCGTCAGACACATAGTAGATTTATAACCTTACTTTAATAAATGAAAAGAAAGAAAAAAGAAGCATAAAATATTTTTTTCTTGTAAAAGGGTGGCTTGAAATTCTTTAATATCGGGGCTTTAGAAAAATTAGCACATGTTAGTAGATGTACTTTGAAAGGAAATAAAGGTGGTTTGTTGAAAGATTTATTTCTAGGTATAACCACATCCTGTTTACCTATGAATTGAGTGGAAAATAACAAGGATGCTAATTTCATTTTATAATTATTAGGTGCAGGTTTCTTTATCTGGTCAAATGACTTAAATGAATCAGCTGCAATGCTGAAAGAAAGTTAATTTGTAACCTCCTAAATGATATCCTGAATTAGTAGAAGTTGTTGTGTGCCATCAAGTCGGAACCAGCTCATTGCTGACCCTCCAGAGGGTTTTTCAGTGGCAGTAAATCACACGGGAGAAGACTGCCCCACCTTCTCTCAAG